TTTCACTATACTCACGGACAAACCACACTACACCTGGTATTGATCTTCCGCGCATGGTTTCCTCTCGTTCACTTCCTAGTATCTACATGCTAGTACCGCGTGCTCATGTAGGCGGAGTATTTCCAAGACTTGTGCGGTTTATCAAGGGTTTTTGTTCCACGAGGATGCACCGGAAATTCGTTCGACGGTCGATCTTTCTGAAGAGGCGGTTTTGTGATATCGAGGCACCATAGTTTTCGTATCTCGTTTCAAACGGCACCGTGGAGTAAATATTGTCAAAAGAGGTTTCTCTCGTTTGGAAAGCGCATGAAAGGAATTTTCATTTAGAGTGTGCCTAGCACGGAATGCTTTCTGCTCGCGATTTTGACGAAATTTTATACTCCTTTGCTTATTACTTTATTTCGATTTCTTTATTTCTGCGAGTTGAGAAATAATAGTAATAAAATAGTAAGAATATTTGTGAGCTTTCCTTCTGCGGGAATAGAAATCCTAGTCTTTTTATATTCTGTTCAATTTTAACAAACCTGCGGCGGTTAGTAAATTTCATACTTTTAATTTCACGTATAACTTCGTATCACAAATGAAATTCATATCGAAAAGAAGGGAGCGCAGGAAAATTAAACGACAAGCTGAACTACCGTTTGTATTTTCAATTTCTTTCGATCTAAAAGTAAAATTTAGAATTCGTTGCAATAATAAATCCTAGAAAAATCGTAGGGGAAATATTGCACTACAAACATTGCCAATGAAACTCGTTCGTTCGAACAACGTCGAGAACCGTACAATTCGCTCACGAATGAAAAAACAGTCTATCAAAATTTGAAGCTGCCTCCGGTGAAACTGCTGGCTGCGCGATGGCACCGCATTAATATTTATTGCCAGCGAGATCGAACATACTGTTTCCTCCATTACACAAGGTTCGTCGATTTTTCAGATCGTTAACGCGAATAGATGAGAGGAAGAATGAAATTAACAAGGAGAGAGAAAACGAGTAGGAATGAAAAATATTACAAGTTCTTTAAGAATCACAAAACGGACACCATGTTCCAAGAGAGAATTAGAATTTAGCATCCCGAGTGCCTCTTTCTAATTACAATGAGTCGTCTAAAAACATTGAAAAATTTTTCCAATAACTATATCTATCACGAGCTTGAAGATTGAAGTTTTCTCTTTATAACGACCTCTTAAAACTTGCCGATACGATTTTTTCTCGTTATTTGATTGAAACTTCAAATGTTAGGATTAAACGATGAAATGTTCAGATTTCTTGAGTTTTTGTCGTTCAACTAACATTCAAAGTTTAATAAAATATTGACGAAACATTGTATAGTAAGTTTGAATCTAGTCGTGAGAAATCAATGTTTCCAGAGACGGTTTCCACAATTTCTCGACCTTCTCAGTGAGAGTGGATTGTTATATATAATTTTTTTTCCATAGAATTGCAACAGTTTGGAATATCGGTAATTTTTCATCGTTATTGCTTCAGTTAGGTTCTCTCTATGAAAGATATAAATTGAAACAGATCCTGACCTACCAAAAAAATCGAAAAACTAAAAAAAAAATCTAATTTCAAGCTAACGCGTGAAATATCAATAATAAGTTGTAATTGACGTGATACAGAACAGAAAAAAAAGAAAGAAATAAAAAAGGAAGATGGGTGAATGTGTGGAAACTAGTTATGGAAATACTTGGCTGGTGGTCCTCTTCATCTGCATATCCCTCAACTTTGACGTGGTGAAAGCTCCGCCGATCCCGACCGCCACCGGTTAAGTTGACCGTCACGAAAATAGCACCACTATGTTCGCGACGCGACGTTGATGCGACTTCTTTTCAGTACGTCGCTCTTCATCGTGGAATAGCCTCCTCCTCGTCGTTTGCTCGCCGCTCGTTTATCGCGGTTAAAGCAATTTCGCGTCGAACGTTCGGGCAAAAACGCTCGAAACAACCTTCGAAGTTCGTTTTTCTCTTTCTTTTTATCGCTTCTCTTTCGATTTTTTTTTTTTTTTTTTTTTTTTTTATTCACGAGTTTCA